TCGGATGATAGAAACTCGATTTACTCTGATGTTCTGTGCTTTTAGACGCCTTCACGCCTTGCTCGGAAACGGCGACGATTTTTGTTAGGAGGTAAGAACGAAACGCGCTTGCTTAGAAATTCGATAAAACCTTAAATGAAAGGATTTAAAACGTTTGAAGCAAACGAATTATGGACAACACTTTTACAGTGATTCTTTATGAGTATTTCTTTTTACCAGTTTATATTAGCTGTAAGAATAAGAAAAAGATAAGAGAAGAACTTTTAAGAATTAAAAGCACATTGAACAAAAATGAAGTTGTTTGGAAAAATATATTCATAAAATGTTCTACAGTTTCTATATCGTTCTTTCTGAATATACAATTGCTTCACTTCGCACGAATTCACTTTCGTACTCGTCTGAAGCATTACTTTCAAAACTTAAGGCTACCTCTTTTATCACAAAAAACCTTTACATAATTCCGCGTTAATCGAACGCGAGGAAGAAACGAAAATTGTCCGAATACGCATTCGCTCTCAAGTTAATTGCAAAACCTCCATTACCTGCACCGGGGACCGTTCGATTTCCATTCACGATGCTCGGCCGCCCGGCCGTCGCGATGGCTTATGAGCATCGCCGCGCATAAATTTACCCTCAGAAACGAAAACGATCGTCTACATGGCCACGGTAAAAAGCAAAATATTATCCTACCGTTCGCTCGCCACCTTTTTTCCCCCCGTTTTCCATCGGTTTGTCGCCCCGTCGCGTGCTCGAAGGAAGCACGGGTGCAGTTTACAAATAAATATGCACACAAAGTACGAGACTGCGAGGAGTTCAAATCCAAAGAACGAAGAGAAGAAGTGATAAAAGGAAGAAGAGAAGCCGATCAATGATGCTCTCACGGTCTATAACGTCTCAACGATAGGTAGATTTTTCAACGAAGAAAATCTCTCGAGGCCGCAGTGTCGTAGCAGCAGCAGCAGGTTCGACCAGTTTTCACCTCTTGACCGTGAGGCACGTAATATTACGTCACGTGCCGAAGAAGCATCACGCCGGCAAGAGATTCCCTTGCTCTTTCGACGTCGAGAATGCTCGCGTATTTCGCAATTTGCTATCGATATAGCAAGGTGCACGCGCACTTATGCATTTACGTATATAAACGCACACACGCGTGAGATTACGTATGTTGCGATGATATTTTATATTTTCCGCACATTTACGATTAACTCCGCTGATGTGCTGGATTGGATTTCGCAAATGGTGCTCTGATGCGTTTTTATACAATGTATAATGGAGTCTGTATTTGTTTGCAGTGAAGGGTCACTCTTCAGCTCTTGATGGTCTCGATTACTTTTAATGGATATAAAAATGGATATAAAAATGGTTAAAAAAGGGAAATTCATATGCTGTTCAACGTGTAATTCGTCAGAAGTCCTAAAACATACGAGCTTGATTATTCACTTTAAGCGAAGTCTTTAGCATAGTATTTTTTACAAGAATAATTCTTATTACTTCCATTAATTATTATTCCACTGGAATGAATTCCATAAAGAAATTTAGGACAGATAAGAAGTATTACACGGATTCCTTCCAATGTACTAGTATGCTAGCAGCAATGAAATCTTAAATGACGAAACCAGTATTTATGCGAATTCGATTGCGGCGATCCGCAAAAGGCTAACATGCGGAAACATTGTTGCTGAGAACCAGCCGCCCCTTGGCTAGTTTTCCTTGCCCTATAGTTACACCTAGCGTCTGTTTGCAATAGTGAAACTTTCACCACCTCGCATAATGCTGTAGAGATCACAAATCCACACATCGACTATGCACACTATGTAGTATCTGATCCGAATTGAGTTTGTTTACTCATAATTGCCGTGATTAATTCCGAGAATAATAAAGTATATTCAGTACCTTGAAAAATATATTTTTCAATAATTTTCGAGGTCTCTTGAACAAGTTGAATATTAAATTTATTCAGAGAAAATTAATCGAAATATTAATAACAATGTGGTTGAAGAGTCGCTGAAATTCTCCTTAAATATAAAATCGACAAATAGAAAGAAGCTCGGAGCAAGGAAGCTGTGTTACGTTTCATGAGAAATAACAGACAAAGCGAAAGAATTCTGTTCAAGTGAAAATGGCTTACAGGCGAATAGAATTCCTTGTCCCTGGATTGAATAAACTGAATAGGGAAACTCTTCTATGGCATGCAGATGAAATTGCGGAATTTATATTGAATGGAGCTCATTTGGTATTCGTAAACGTTAAATTATGGAGAAATGGATGAAAGTTGTTGGTCAGTATTTCGATTCTACCCAATGATTTGTAATTTTAAAGACTCTTTTGGCGTACAAACTAAATTAAATGAACTAATAAATAAAATTAAGATAAATCGAATAGAAAATAAATTATATTAAACTATAGAATAAATAAGATTAAACTTGTACATTGCAATAGTTTTATCAAAAAGAAAAAGATACTCGAATGCTTGTATTTGCTGTTTCCGACACGAATACCAAAGTAAAAAAAATCGCAGCTAAAATCACAATTTCTGTTCCAATTTTGAAAACATTCCTTTTTTTATAGCAATTATTTGAACAGTTAATTAATGTTTCGTTTCATTTATGGTTCTCCAGCCACTCTACCTAATCGAAAATGAATCTTTACACATTGCGAAATCCTTCTCTCATCTTTATATAGTAAGAATCGTCTAAAAAATGAGACCACAAAAAAGAAAAATTGTATCGGGCAAAAGACCTCGGCCAACAATTCCGGAATGGACCGGTCTCTCCGTCCAAATGTATCTTTCTCACACATCTTTGTTCGCAGCGTAACAGAGTGCAACTTTCACCGCTGAAGTGCAACAGGATTACCACCGATAGGTCGATTCACTGTTAACGCGATTTCATCTACGAGCATCATTCAAATCCTTGCGTGAGCCGGTCAAACCACGATCGATCACAATGTTTAGCCGTGTATTTTCCTTAACTTAATTCTTTTCTTTAACAAAGGAAGAGGCGAATGATGCGAGTAGCAGACGGTGAAAGGCCAAAAAGGCTTGGTCCGTGGCTCGGAAGACACGTTGTTGCCTCTTATCCCGCGAAAGCGAGCAGTTTCACGCAAAATGCTCGTTTCGTGCGAGGTGTATCGCGATCCTGGATGCATTAGCGGAAACGAACGACTATGCGAACTGCCCCCGAGAAACGACGATCCATTATCGTCGATCTCCATTGTTTTCAGGAGCGATTAAGCGTCTACACGAAGCAACCTAATGAAACGAGATCGCTTCCCAATCGAGGTACACCATCATCGGATCTTGGGACGATCGGCTAATGCGCTGCGTTTTGTCGAAATTCTATCATTGCCATTTTAAAAGGGTTGATTGAGATGGAACGCCAATTGATGGCTAAAGTCGACGGTAATGCATACTTTTTATTAATAGAAGGTTTCACGTGGCGAAACGTTATTTATCTTTCTGTAACATAAAAATTATTAACCAAAAAAATCTAATCTAATTATTTTATAAGACATTGTTCGTTTCTCTTCTTCTGTGTTGATTAAGATGTTTCTAATAGATAGTCGAAAGAGACACTACATCGAAGTGGGTGATCGCAGTGCATAATTGTGCCTGAAAGCGACTGAACTAAATCTTGTAACAATGAAGCTGCCTGGCTGTTGCATCTCGTCTGTCTGGTAAAAGTAGCGGGTTGCGTAATGGGTTAAAATGTAGATGTGTTCGGGCATGAGAAAATGATGGGCACTGGCACGGTACTGTAAGAATTGGCTGAGAGTCAAGGACGAAGAGCTTGTAATTGCTAAGATTGAAAGTTTTACATCGTTCATCTTTTGGCTTGACAATCCTGTTACTTATGTGCTTATTTTTATTAAATCACGTATCGGAATACTTAAATTGTTTTATGTAAATGAAGAATTAAAGATACACATTATAATCTCTCACGTCTTACTATCAAAAGTAAAATTACATTTTTTCAAATAATTTTACGTAAAATACGTGTAGATAAAAATTTATTGTAAAAACGATGGAATGTAAAATACGCTTTGTTTGTCATACATTTCGCTTTCGTGTTTGGTCTCCTGATTCCCAGCCAAGTATCTCTTCCACGAAATTGCGTCAAATTCCCAGTGCAAGATGTTCCAAAGATTCTACCATGTATGTGCACACTTTTTCCCAGAACATTCTAACGGCCGTGTACCGTGAAAAGCGACCGGATTTGACGAAGAAGAAAAAAGTAAAGGAGGAGGAAGAATCCCTGTCGAGCATCACTCGCGGGTAAACATTCTATAAGCTTCGGAGATTATCTTGCTAATGATTATCGCATTTCCTCCGGCAACGAGGTCGGCGAATTTCTTCACGATCCCTGATTTTGATGACGTCTATAAATTTACGGGCCCATTGTGCGCAGAGAGAGAAACTTTACTAGCTTAAAATTAATTCTTTAACGAAACATGTCATTCTTAGATCTACAACAAACATATTTGAAATTTGTATTAGAGAGTCGAATAAAAAACTTAAACCTTCATTCTTTTTTTCGTAAATCCGATCTGTAGCTATTTTCTTTAATTTTTTATCATATATCATGTAGTAAGCTAATCTTTCTACTTATAAAGAATATAATATCGTAATTAATATCATATTATGTTCATCTTCGTTGATACTTGCTAAAATAATTGAACTGAAAACTTGAAGATCTTCCTTTAAATTCTCATTTTTAACATTTTTACATTTTCTAAATACGAAAAAGTTGTTTTTCTCTGAGAAACGCAGAAATCCTACGTTTTATTCTTCATTAATGCATGAATGCAAGAATATAACTTATGGTCCTTCTTATTTCAGTACGACAGAGTTATATTCAAATAGCGAAAGATTCAGGGACGTGCAACGAACAAATAAACTCGTCATGGTGTATTTTTAGAGCAAATGAATAAATAACCAGGCGTTTAGAGCAAATGTATAAATAACCATAACGAAGGCGTCTCGCCGGATGTAAAAGTAGGATATGAAGCATTTATCAAGAAATGGACGAGCAACATTCATTCTACAAATCGTCGATATAGTGACAAGGAAAAGACAAAGACGGAATCATACAAACGCACACGTATACGAGAATAGAGAAACGGACAACGAACATAAAGAATTGCACGACCCTGTAACCCAGACGCCACGGTGCAAAGCGGCGGCTCTTCAAAAGATTCACGATTGCCCGTTCAGATTAACCGGCATGCAGATCGTTACATCGTTACAAAGAGAGGGTTCGAGAGGGGGTTCTAGGTGTACAAACGGTACTAAAAGTGGTAGGGGATTTTTGTGTGATGGTAGTGGGCACGAAAGTTGGATAGGTGTTACGAAGACAAACTGGAAGGGCGGGGATCGGCGAAGAAAGGCAAGAGCTATAAAAGAGGCACCGGACCGGACGATGGGCATCAAACACCTCAACATGAAGGTACGTGGTAAGAGGCGTGCGGTGTCTCTTTCATTTTTTCTCTTTTCAAAAAAAGATTCTGACGGAAGGAATACTCACGTGGTACTTTCACGTTACAGGTGTTCGCGATTACTATCCTCTTGGCGTTCGTTGCCAGCGCCTACGGTGAGTATCAGTGAACGTGGACTTATAGCGACTGGCAGGATCGGTCGAGTGAAAACTTGAAAATTCTTAATTTGTTACCATTCTGTATTGTAATGAGAAGTCACAGCGAGATTTAAAAAAATTAAACCTAAAATGTTTGGCGAAAAAAGCGGAGTTTAATATTAATAACAAAAGATTTAATCAGTTATGTGAGTCACTTTGCGTACGCTTACATTATATGTAACAATTACACGTCCAATAAGTGTTCCAAAATTTAAATGCATCAGGAAAATAATTTATAAAAATAGAAATACTCTAATTGTTTATTATTAGATAGTAGAATTGCGTTTATGATTGGATACAAAGGATTGATGGTTGGTTCGTATGGCAAAAACCTACCAAGGGTGAATTGCGCTTCTTACCCTTGAGAGACGACAATCAAATTACCCAAGAGTGACGGACAAAAACGGTCTGTAGATTTTCACGATCGCTTGACTTCGATCATTAATAGACTCGCTCGCGTTTAATTGCGCGTGTAGTTGTAACAATTCAGCTGTAGGGAACATGGGAAAAAAAATTCGTTGAAATGAAATAAACATAATTAGTTTTATTTAAGAAAAACGTATGTACAATTCAATAATTTGCTTCCATCTCTGAATCATTTTTCACTGAAGAAGTTTTCCAATGAAATTTGATCGAAGAAGAACATGATTAATTTGATAAAATTTTTATCTTAACTTAAATCTCGTTGTCACTTTAACGAACTAAGAAAATGAAGAAAAAAACCGATGTTGTTTCATATTTCAGCCGGTTACATAAGCAGCGGCTGGTCCGGCGGTGGTGGTGGCTGGTCCGGAGGTGGTGGGGGTTGGTCTGGTGGCGGCGGTGGCTGGGCCGGAGGAGGCGGTGGCGGCGGTGGAAAAATCATCAAAGTGATCACCGTGAGCGGAGGAGGCGGTGGATGGCCTAGTGGCGGCGGCGGCGGTGGTGGTTGGCCTTGGAAGAGTGGCGGCGGAGGTGGTGGATGGAAGAGCGGATGGAGCGGCGGTGGCGGCGGTGGATGGCCGAGCGGATGGAGCAGCGGCGGCGGCGGCGGTGGTAAGTGGCAAATTTCATTTTTAAACTCCCTTTATAAATTTCTTCCACCCCTTTTTTGGCGTTACTTTTGACGCGACGAAATTGATGGAAGGTGTTAGATTCTTTCTCGGTAAATTGAAGATGCAATTAAGTGGAAGCCGATGATGAATCGTCGCGAGGTCCTACGTACCAAAGTGAGAAAGAGAAGGATAGATAAAGAGTGATGTGTTTAGTTAGAGCGGGACGATCTTTATTTGGCAGTTAATATTGACAAAATTAAAAACGTGAAGCTTCAATTAACTGGTTCGCAACTTGAAGGGAGGTTAATTTGTTTCCTTGTTTGTTTGCTAATGAGGAATGTTGATATCGATGCTGAATTTAATTTAATTTTGTGTTAAACGAAACGTAAACTGTGGATCTGCGGTGAACGCAGTTTATAGACATGATTAATTATACATACAGTTTTATTGGG